TCTTACGCGGAGGCCGTAGAGGGTCCCTACTCCTCTCAGTGGCAGGCAGCTATGGATGCAGAGATGGCTTCCTGGAAGTCCACAGGCACCTACGTTGACGCGGTTCCCCCTCCTGGGGCGAACATCGTCAGTGGCATGTGGATCTTCAGGGTGAAGCGGCCGCCGGGCTCTCCACCTGTCTTCAAGGCACGGTACTTTGCTCGTGGCTTCAATCAGCGGCAGGGAGTTGACTACTTTCAGACCTTCTCTCCCACCCCGAAGATGACTACTCTTCGGGTGCTGCTACACATAGCCGCTCAGCGCGACTACGAGCTTCACTCTCTTGACTTCAGCACTGCGTTCTTGCAGGGTAGCCTGCACGAGGAGATCTGGCTTCGCCGTCCACCTGGCTTCACTGGGACTTTCCCTCCTGGCACCCAGTGGAGCCTCCGACGGCCAGTCTACGGTCTCCGCCAGGCACCGCGTGAGTGGCACGACACACTGAGGACTACGCTTGCGGCCCTTGGGTTTGCTCCTTCTACTGCTGACCCGTCGCTGTTTCTTCGCACCGACACTTCCCTGCCGCCGTTCTACATCCTCGTGTACGTCGACGACTTGGTCTTTGCCACAGCGGACACTGCTGGACTCGCCTACGTGAAGTCCGAGCTGCTGAAGAGACACACGTGCACAGACCTGGGTGAACTGCGCAGCTACCTTGGCTTGCAGATCACTCGGGACAGAGCACGCCGCACCATTACCTTGACTCAGTCACACATGGTGCAGCAGGTCCTTCAGCGCTTCGGCTTCACGTACTCCTCGCCTCAGGCCACTCCTCTGCCTACTCGCCACTCACTCTCAGCTCTGCCTTCGGATGAGTCCGTAGAGTCGAGTGGTCCGTATGCAGAGCTTGTTGGCTGCCTCATGTACCTGATGACCTGCACACGACCTGACCTTGCATACCCTCTGAGCATTCTTGCACGCTATGTTGCTCCTGGGAGACACAGACCAGAGCACATGGCTGCAGCGAAGAGGGTATTGCGCTACCTGTGCAGTACGTCGGGCATGGGGCTAGTGCTTGGAGGGCGGAGTCCAGTGGTCCTTACCGGCCACGCGGACGCTTCTTGGGCTGACGACCAGGCTACGCAGCGGTCGTCACAGGGTTACACCTTCAGCCTTGGTTCCGCCTCTGTCTCGTGGCGGTCTACTCGCTCGTCTTCGGTTCTCGGCTCCAGTTGTGAGGCTGAGATCTACGCCGGGGCCATGGCTGCACAGGAGCTTCGCTGGCTCACCTACCTGCTGACTGACCTTGGAGAGCCGCCTCGTTCTCCTCCAGTGCTGTACGTAGACAATAAGGCCATGCTGGCCTTGTGTCGAGAGCAGCGCTTGGAGCACAGAACGAAGCACATTGCTCTCCGCTACTTCCTTGCTCGTGAGATGCAGCAGCGTGGTCAGTTGCGACTTGCGTACGTGGCCTCTGAGGCCAACACTGCTGATGTGTTCACCAAGGCACTCGCGCCTTGTGACCATCAGCGCTTTTGCACCCAGCTGGGTCTTGTGCCTGTCTTGCCTCACTTGCTCTCCTCTTGACTTCACTTGTACTGTGACATATATATATACCTGCTCTTGCTTGTCTAGTTTTATATATATGTCTGTACTTCTGCATGTGAACTGGCCTCTGGCCCTGCTCTTGTGCTCGGACTGTGTGGTGACTTTGTGATCCACCCTGAGCTTGCTTTGCTTTGCTTGACTGGTCTTGTGACCCCTTGTTCTCCCCCACTCTGCCTATGGGGGTGTGTCAGATTATCATAGCTGATGCATGTTTGTAGGCTATAGTGGGGTAGCACATATGGGGTACAGCTTTCTAGGGTTGTATTTGTACCCAACTCTGACTTAGTCATTTCATTCCTGTTTTCCTTGCTTCACAGATGTGTCCGGTATGGCGGTAGTTGATCAGGTAAATCGTCGGGGAGAACGTCCTGGAACTCTTCAAGAATTTTCTTGACTGCTGGAGGAAGTTCCTGGGTCTTCTTCTCTCCGTTGTCTGGCTCGTTGACTATCGCCATGAATCCCGCCGTGGTCCGTTTGACGTCCTTTTCAAAGCGTGCGAGTGTCTCGACTGGAATATTTCCCGTGTCGTCCCATTTGGGAAGGCTGATTTTCCTCCCGTTGTTGTTGATGTTGGCCGTCTGGTTAACCCAGTTGATCTCGGGGTTGAACTTTTTAAGAAAGTCTCTCCCGAAGATTACGCCGAGTCCTTTGATATTTATGACGGGGAGAGCAGGCTTCCATCGAAGGGGTCCAATCTGGAGTAGCAACCGTGTTTCCCCGTAGATAGGTAGCTTACTGCCATCCACCATCGTTGCAGAGAAGCTTGAGGACTTGAGGTCACTTCCGAGTCGATCGATTGCCTTTTTGTCATAGACGCTGTGCAACGCTCCGCTGTCCACGAGTGCTTGGAGGCGCTGTCTGTTGCAGATCACCTCGAGCAGGAGTGGTGAGCGTTGCTCGGAGTACCCAAAAATAGTCTCATTAATAGGATCATAGGGTACATCCCAATATTCAGTACACACCGTGGTTCCACTGCTTTCTTCTGGACAACTAGCTGGCCTGGGCTGCGTGGAGAAAGGCTCTTCTCCAACGCCAGGAGTAGAGGTAGTAACCGTACAAGTTGACCCTGAGGGGGTGGATCCGGTCGACGCCTGCGATCCACTGGATGCATCCTTGAGGGGTTTTCGGAGTTTCTGCAGCTTCTTTTGAACTCCCAGCTGCCTCTTCAGCTGCTTCAGCTCCATAGACTTCTTCCCTGGGGAGTGGAGAGTCGTCTTGGGCTGGTTCCGGGAGAGGACGTTGACGCCGTGAAAAGGTCTACTCCTTTCCACACTCCTTAATTTTTTCCCCAGCTCCGTAGGCACCGGTACCACTTTTTTAATTGTCTGCTTCCTCTGGAGTTCTTCCCGAAATTTGTTTATGGCTCCGGACCCGCGAAAATCGCCAGTCTTCATTAAAGCATCTTTGAAAGATAACTTTAACGAATTCTGTTTTTTTCCGGGGTCGAATTGGAGAGTTCCCGTCTTGGTCGAGTCTGTTTTCGCGGAGGTTTTCTTTTCCTCGGCGAATTCCTCTGACAAATTTCGGTCAAGGGGCTTGGGATTTCGCCCTTGATTCTCCAAATCTCGCGCCCAATGCTGTCCTTCAATTTCGATTCGGTCCAGATTGCGCTGACGCTTTCGGATCTGTTTTTTCTCGCCAGCCCGATCCGCAATCACTGGCGAGATCCGTTTTTTTACTTTTTGTCTTTAGTTTCGCCACTCCCACGAGCTCGGAATGCCGCACGTGCTGATTTCATGTGAAAACAGTCGACAATCCGATGTCCGTTTCCGCCGCAAAATTCGCAAAGTGTTTTGTTTTTTGCAGGTCGTGAACTCGCGTCGAATTTGTCGACTTCCATGGGGTCGGCGAACGTGGTTGAAGCCGAGCGATCCCCTTGTCGTAATCCGACGACGTGGGGTCGTCGTGTCCCGGAGTTGACCAAGTCAAAACGCTCCGCGGCCGATACGATTTCGCTGTAGCTGCTGCAATTCGCTGCTGCAACCTGGCGCCGAATGTCAGTTTTTAGCCCCGCGATATAGGACTGAATTTTTTCGCCCTCGGTAATATCGGGAATGCGATTATAAAATTCCTCCATCTGCTGCGTGTATTGCGCGACACTCCCGTATTGCCTATGGTGATGTAATTTTTCGCGCGCAATATAAGTGGAATTAATCGGCTCAAAACGTTTGAGAAGGTCTGCCCGGAACTGCTGCCACGTGGCTTCGCCCTGGAAAATGCTACTGTTGCTTCCGAGCCACTCGAGAGCTGGACCGCGCATCAACGTTGTCGCGAGACAAATTTTCTCGCCGTCGTACTCTGTCGTCGTCCATCCGATCTCCGCGAAATAAATTTCCATCGTCGCGAGCCACCGCCTGACGTCGGATTTTCGATCGCTAGGGTCGAACGATTCCGGCGAGCGAAGTTTCGGAACCTCGAACTGACGCTGCGACTGCTGCGAAGTCGTCGAAGTAGGAATGTTCATGGTCGAGAGGAGCCGCGTAACGCGCTGCAGTTCGTTTCGCATCTGCTCGTTCTCCAATCGCGACCGTTCAGTCGTCGCTCGCATCTCCGCTTCCATCTTGGCGATTTGCGCGAAGAGCTGCTGCGTAACGTCGTTGGTTGCCGGCGAACCCATCCTGTTCAAAAACCACGCGAGGGGGTTAATTCGAAAAGCGCGGAACTGGTACTTACCAGAAATTGGCGTCGAATTGGTCGCCCCCGGCGGTTTTTCGAGGCGATTTTTTCCGCGACCGCTGCTTAGCCGAGAGTTGTCGAGTGAGAACGGCTTTGATTACCAAGTGTCACAGGATCGAATTCTCAATCGAAACTTGTCACTAAAACTGAATACAAGGCCTATTTATACTCAGAAAGTACAAGGATAAACGAGATAAAACGAACCTTCGGGAACACACCCTTCCCGATACTACAATCACAAGTGCGCATAAGCACGCAAGTCTATTGGCACTTGGGATTACGCTCAGATTACACCGTATACACCACTGTTGGCACTGTCGGTGCCGTATAATAGGTATGTCGGTGGGAAAAGTAGGAAATAAGAGAAATAAATAGAAGGCTCTAGAGAATAGAATAGTAGGCCGATTGAGATGAGATAAAGACCAAAATAAAGAGGAGAAAAGGGAGAATAGGATAACGGAAAAATATAATAGTGAGAAAATATTATAACGGGGACGTCCTCTCTCAACGATCATGGGAGGATACTCACATTCCATATCTACACGCCCCAAGTCACCCCATGCTCTTTAGTATTTCTTCTGTTTGTCTCTGCGTGTTGGTGCCTGGTAAGTCTTTGTATTTGTGTGGTGAATTATCTATTGTTGTTTGTACTGGGCCTCCTCTGAACTAGGCCAGCCTGACTGCGGCAAGTGTCAATGCTAACCCAAGTTTCTCTTGTGTTCAATCAAAGGTAAAACCTATGAGTTGAACCTAAACTGAAACCTGAAGTGTAACTTTCTCGAATAAGATAACACAATGATAAGTATGAGAGTGAATTCCAGCCTATTCCAATATTGCCGTCACCATTCCCTCCTCCTGCTACCTCGTTGGTGCGGCATTGCTGGCACAGTGGCCAGCTTAGCAACAGCAGCAACACGAGGACAGCCACAGTGCCAGCAGCAGCAATGCCAGCCATGGCTTTGCTGAAAAAGCTGCTCCTCCTTTGGAGGGAGTGGCGGAGGGTGCATTAGGAGTTGAAGTGGGAGGAGGTGGAGAAGGTGCTGGTGCTGGCGATGAGGAGGGTTCTGGCGCTGGCGATGGGGAGGGTGCTGGCGCTGGCGATGGGGAGGGTGGTGGCGCTGGTGATGGAGAAGGTTTTGGCACTGTCGATGGGGACAGTACAATAATGGGATAGGAAGATGGAGAAAGGGAAGGGAAAGGGAAATCATACATGGGGATGACGTTGGGCTTGGTGAAAGTGGATGTGGCATCAGTCACATTTTGCACAGTGAGCAGTAGCAAAGAGAGGCATTGACAGGTTTAAACGGGTACTATTCATTAAAAGCCAAGCTGAGGCATGCAACAGGAGGTAAAAAAAAAAAAAAAAAAAAAAAAAAAAAAACACCCACACACACACACACACACATTATTTTATGAGGATGCCGGATGCGTGACACTAGAAAATATTGTTCTATGGGTTCCTGATACATGGAGAAAAAAAAAATCTGACACTGAAAAAGATTGTTGAATGGGTGGCAATGTGGTGTTCATGCTTTTGGCATGAGAGCAATGTAATAATAGGTAATACAAATTGCAGCTACCTGCGTAAGAATGAACAGATGTGATGGTGAAGTACCCAGAAACCGTGATTCGGAAATTGAAAATGCTAAGCGATAAGCATCATGCGCACAGGAGCATGGGCATGACGTGATCACTGATTCATAGAAGGTGTGAACACGAGAGGAGGTCAAATAGGAGGCAAGTGTCGTTGGGGAATGAGTGGTCCTGAGCTCCATTAGGCACAGCGAGTAAATAAACTACGACTACTCGTGGTTGTTAATGACCCACGACGCCTTGCCATTGCTGCATCCACCCATGGCAGCAAGCCACCCACACATTATATCTCCCCTCTGTGCTTGCCTGTAAGTCCAGCCAGCAGGAGTTGCACTGGCAGCAGGGATGAGAGGGGCCAAACTGGAGCAAGATAAAGAAAACATGGGAGAGATACGCCCTGCTTCTGAGGGGGTGGGAGGGAAGAAGAGATGAATTGGCCAGCTCATCAACGTCGTATGGCCTTCGCTCCCTCTCTCAAACCCTGCACCAGATATCTTTAGAGAAGACAAGTGTGATGGGCAGGCTGCACGAGGAGATTGTGTTCCACAGAAACGATTTGCACACTGCTGCAACTCCAAACTTGAAACTTGGCAGGTCAAACTGCTAAGCATCATGCGGTTGATCATGGACAGATGTGTGAAGCGCCATGACTTGGCTATAACGATCCGCCGCCATGGCACGATTGGTCACTGCTGAAACTAGTAGCATGTGCATGACGTTTTGGTACCTGGAGCGGCATGGGATTGACCAAACGACGTACTTCAAGTACCTAAGTTAGGTAGCGGAAGACACAGCAGAATCGAAAACTGTTACTATCGCAGTGATGAGGCACTAGGCCGCCGAGGCAGAATGCGTCCCGCGTCATCGTGGTGCCATCATCGTGTGAGATTTCCATGGAACCCTTTCTGTAATGCACTAGGACTCCATAATACATGACATTTGTAAGGGTAACAAAATACGGAAATGATTGGAGGGGAGGGCCCCCCTCTAAAAAGGCCTGTCCCACATCTGTCCCTCGAAACATTTTCGGGATGGATGTGAGACAAAACCGAAGGTGACACAAAACTAAAAAAGTCTACATAGTAATATTAGCCAGAATTGAGGATCGATCTCGGGTCTTCCAATCACATATCCACCCGATCGGAATTGGTGTGATACAAATTAATTCTTAAAAAAAAATCACTTGCAACCCAAACAGTTCGTTCGCACGAACTCTCCCCGAAGATACTTAGGGGACAGTTTAGGGTTCCAAGACAGGGCAATCTAGGGTCAGCTCAGGGACAGCGCCTTTTTGGTGATGGGGGTCGAGGCAGGGGCCGCACCACGGCCGACTGAACGCTTAGCATCATTCTACAAGGACAAACCTTGGGATGCGGCGAACAGGACACCGTGGACTGGAGAAACATAGGCGAGACACGTCAGCAAGAGTACGCTGAGCCGAATGATGCATCCCTTGTTGTCCGTTGCCATCGTGGTGCGGCGAGAAGCTGTGCGCAAATAGTAGCAGTTTTAAGCGTCCAGAGTAACGCAAGAATATCTGTAGACAGATCAGGTAAAAAATGATGTTACATGGAGTGCAGACGACTATGAAGATAGCAAGTTAGGAATGAGACTAACAGTGGCAGGGAGGAGAGTGGGAGTTGAAACTGAAGTCCCATTTTTTTTGCCAAGATCTGCTACGCATTTTTCTTTGTGGCTGCGAGAGGCCAACATCGCTGGCGAGGTCGAGTTCGCAAATTGCAACTTCCCATTCAGCTGTGAAATGTGGATCTTGACAGATGCGAACGTAATGTCAAGTTACCCTGCTTTGCGGATTCCAAGGTGACACGAGTTCTGTGCAATGGTGGCGTGGCATGCCAGCAGGGCGTGTCGAGCTCCCAAAAATCTCGCCAGGTCTGCCAGTCAGACGAATCAGGACAGCGGCTGACCCTGTTTGACGAACAACGACCTCCTCATTTGCTCTCGCAATAACGGGAACGAAACGAAACCCTAACAACCACTAGAGCAAAAGATACATAGTGCTTTCAGCATACGGATTGTGGCAGACCAGGGACTTAGCGATCGATCGAGCTGGGACGTACCTTTTTGCGATTTAGTATTAAGGTCGACTAATAAGATCAAGTAATAAGGTTGACTAATGAAAGTCGACTAATAAGGTCGACTTATAAGGTCGAGTAATAAGGTCGACTAATAAGGTCGAGTAATATGGTCGAGTAATAAGGTCGACTAATAAGGTCGAGTTATAAGGTCGAGTTGACTCGTTTCATCGTACGACTCCGCGAAAAAGGGAAGTTGCAAAATTTGGCCTTCAAAGGTTTTTCTGCGTATACCTTGCGTACAATTTGTGCGAAGTATCCAAAAACCAATGCACGAACATCGCAACATTCGGTACACCAGTTACTTTTCCGTCAACTTTTCCTGGTCAGTCGGTGTCGCACGTTTGAGAGAGATTCCATGCGTTTTTGCAGAGTGACGAGGGCACTGTAATGTAACCACAAGTTTAACGAAACAAAACGAACCCACGAAGTCCAGCAAGGTGCAACAGCTGCATACATTATTTTCGTTCAGTATCCAATCTGAACCCAACCACCCAACCCAACCCACAAATGCTACCTGGTTTCTTCACATGGGGTGACGTGTGAGCCAAAGAATCGTTGTGAACCAACGATTGTTGTGCTCTGACGAGTCAATCAATATGCACCTTCCGATACTTACACGTCAGCACACTCAACCCAAAAAACGTCCACCCAATATCCCCTCACTTTCAACATGGGAATCTTTATCACATGATTCCCCTCCAAACCTGTACCTTCCGTACTACCCACACCTACCTCATAGTCTCGCCTTGTTGATGTTGAGTGCCTTAGACTAGCGACTACGCTCCTACCTCTCTAGGTTTCTTAGATTAGCAACTACGCTCTACATGTTTCAAGCCCAGATGCGCTCTATGTTATTGAACGTCATCACTACGATGTCTGCGCAAAGATCGTTGTATACAGTTTTGTCTTAGCGTATACACATCGTTGTGAACAAAGCTCTCTGTCTGATATTTACCATCTACTTATCCCTCTCACTTCTCATTCCCCTTCGCAGATCGACTGTTCAACGCCTTGGTGCGGACGACATGCGTGCAATTGGCGACGCCGTCAGCGCCTGTTCGGCCCCTCTCTCTACACGAGAACGGTATATGTATTGCTGCTGAGATATACATTTTTATTACTATATGTTTCGGCCCACATAGTTTCGCCTTATGTCCTATGTTTCCTGTCACAAATTATGGTACCTTGGTTCTTACTATTCTACTTTTATTCGGTTTGAGACTAACACTGTGCAGCATCTCGTTGCCCTGCGTAACCGTCGTAGTTAGAGCCGCCGCAACTGACCGTGCAAAGGCTAAGTACGATGCATTTGGTGGTTCCATTGGAGCAAGCTTACTGTTGTGCGTAGCATCAACATTATGTGTGCAGGTTTCAGAGATGTGAACACTAACCTTTTTCCTTGCAGGAGTATAAATGTCGACAATCGCATTATGCGTCATTTGCAGGGCGTACCTGCTACGGCAGGCTTATCGTCAACTATACACGTACTTCGTATATTTTCCAACACTCATACTTCCATTTTTATCAACCCCAAAGGTGAGCACTATAAACGCAATTTTGGTGTGTTCGACATGTTTCATGTATGTTTTTCCAGTTACCATCTGCTCTAACTTGTAGAGTCATTTTTCCAGTGACGCGGGTCTAGAAACCTATTACTGCAGTCTTAAGTTAGGCGTAGGTGGTGTTAGAATAACTGAACAGGAATGAATGAACTAACACTGAAATGAGTACAAGTACCTAACCCTAGAATTGTGTACCCCCTATAGGCTAACCCACTGTAGCCTAAACAAGCACAACATATATAATGTTTGACAGGTGGAAAATTTATGTGTACAGTTTGTGTGTGAGTTGTGAATACTAAAAAGACAGTAATAATGAGAACAAATTCATTATGAGTTTGCTATTATGATGAATCACAATCGTCGCAGACGTTTTCGTATTAATCGTCAGCCGATAATAAATTGTTACTGTACAACAAATCGCAGGATCCGATTGGTCCACAAAGACGAATCACGTGCGTTCATCGTCAACTTATTCGACGGTTGACGTTAGGGTACGGTGGACGCCACGTCAGCATTTCTGAGTTTCATCTAGAGTACGGCATACGACACGTGGCGTCGTCATGACACTTTCGCACAAGTTGCTCAAAGTTGACGGACATGCTGCTTTACTGTATACTTGGTCAGTTGCCCCAATCTGTACAGTTAGTGACGGAAGAGTGATAGGGAAGTTGCTTTGTAAGTGACGGTCGGTACGCAGTTCTAAAACCTTGACTCAAAAATGCCGGGCAAAAAATATCGGGAAAGTTACGGAAGAGTGTATTTTGAGTTGCTTTCCGAACTTCCCATTTTCGCGATGGAGATGGCAAGTCTACTCGTTATGGTATGTCAGAACGGGTCATAACATCGGATTAAAGAAGGGAGACATCACTCTCGCACCTCTTCCCCCGCCCCACGCCTTACCCTCTTACTATCGCACATTCCCCCTGTGTGACGCCGCCGCCAACATTGCGAGAAGCGG